ACAACAGCACACACGCCACAAAGGGAAACCATGAAACCGCATCTCACCCAACTACTCCACAAAGACAAGCTACAAACGGGAGAAAACCATCAAGGACAGTGTCCTAAAAGCCTAATCAGAACAGCGACCGTACCGAGGGGCCGGCCATGTCACCAGGAGATGATCAGCCGCTGTCTTTTCCTCGATAGAATACCAGGGACCGGCCTGAAATAGGAGAACTGAATTCCTCTTCGCTCTGGGGTTGGGAGTCTCGGATCCAAGTCGTCAGGCTTGCTGTCCTGAGGCTTCCCCTGCAGCCTGCCCAAGGCTGCGCTCCTCGCCAGGCCAGTCACAAGGAAGTGGACCCTGCCACTGGCTTTCTCCTGTCTAGAACCTTTGTGTACAGGAGGTGCGAGGGGTCTGCGCTTCCACATATGAATCCAAGGAGGCAAAAGTCAGCCTGTTCAATCCACTCTGGAACCAGTTTCATGGAGTAAGAAAGACATACAAATGGAGAGAAACCACTTAATATTTTTATTGTGCAAAGAACTGCTCTCCACTGAGATTTTCACCATTTGCTGTCCATGTAATAGACACAGGAATCACTCCAATACGGGAACCTTCATGAATTAAGCGATATCACAAATTCAAGGTGAAACTTAAGTAACAAAGTGCTCAGTTCTCATCTTTTATGTCACACACTGGCACACAATAGCCCGCTTAATTGCCTACTATCCTGGAGAGGTGCAGAGAGGATCTGCAGACTAATCTCCTACCATTACATTAAAGTTTTCCTGTGACTTTTGAAGTCTAGGTGATCCTGGAGATAGTTCATACGGTGAAATAGAATTTTTTCATGTTGTTGAGGCTGGGAAGGTGGCTCAGTGGTAGAGTGCTCGCTTCGCATGCATGAGGCCCTGGGTTCAATTCCTCAGCACCACATAAGCAGAAAAAGCTGCAAGTGGTAGAGCGCTAGCCTTGAGCTGAAGAGCCCAGGGACAGCGCCCAGGCCGCGCTCAGGCCCCATGACCGACAAAAACAAAACCAGAATTGTTTCATGTTGTTAATGACAAAATCATCTAATTTCCAGAAATTTATGTCAGTCTGTTTCTGGGTTGTTGTTTTTTTGGGGGGTCCAGTAGTGGGGACTGAACGATGGGCCTGGGCACTGTCCCTCAGCTCTTCAGCTCAAGGCTAGCGTTCTACCACTTGAGCCACAGCGCCACTTCCGGCTTTTTTCTTTTTGCTTATGTGGTACTGAAGAATTGAACCCAGGGCCTCAGGCATGCAAGGCAAGCGCTCTACCACTGAGCCATCTTCCCAGCCCCTGTTTCTGGGGGTTTTAACTAACCATTTCTAACATAAAATACAGAAATCACTACAATGAGGATATGAGATTGTTTTTATTTTTATTTTTAGCCAGTCCTGGGGCTTGAACTCATGGCCTGGGCATTGTCCCTGAGCTTCTTTTGCTCAAGGCTAAAGCTCTACCACATAAGTCACCACACCACTTCTGGCCTTTCCTTTTTATGTGGTGTTGAGAAATTGAACCCGAGGCTTCATGCATGCTAGGCAAGCATTCTGCCACTAAGCCACCTTCCCAACCATAGTTATTTCCTTATTGAACAGAAAGTGCTAGCATTCACAAGTTTCAGTTAAGGTTAGCTCTGTTATAAATTTTATTCAGTCTCATTCACATCACTGAGCAAAAGAACTTTCAACACTTACCTCTTTGCAAAACACTAGAGACCTTATAATACTGTTACCATACTTGTGGCATTACAGAACCAGTACCATGCTTGGCATGTAGTAGAAACCCCAATGTTTTCAGTGGTGGGTGCTATTTCATAACAGGTACTGTGCAATCACAGACCTTCAAAAATCAATAACTGCAATATAATCACTGCAATATAATCTCCACCTAACACAGCAATGTAGTTATCTCTGGTTTTGCTCATACCAGGAAAACCCTGTTTTGGAATAAAGCAATTCAAATCTGAGGTTCTCTGCTAATATTATATCCATTTGTGTTATTTTTATCTACAACAAGGATTTTAGAATTACATTGTAATAGGGCCAGGAAGGTGGCTCAGTGGTAGAGTGCTTGCCTCATATGTATGAAGCCCTGGGTTCAATTCCTCAGGACCACATACACAGAAAAAGCCAGAAGTGGCACTGTGGCTCAAGTGGTAGAGCGCTAGCCTTGAGCTGAAGAGCTCAGGAACAGTGCCCAGGCCTACAGTTCAGGCCCCATGACCGACAAAAATAAAAACAAATTACATGGTTATATACTGCCAAAATTTACATCCCTTCCCCCAAACTTATCAGTGTCCTTTTTCTCTAGAAATAACTACAGTCCTGAAATGGTGAGACTCAAGAAGCACCAACTTTCCAGGAAACCTGGTCTAGAAGCATGGATTCAATATCCATGACCATTACTGGTATTTTGCAGGCGTATGGCCGTGTGTTTTTGTGTCCCCCGTCAGTGTACCCCATCCCCTTTGTTCCCTGGATTCCTTGCAGTTCTGTGCTTTTTTTTAAATATAAATTATTGTTTAGATGATGTAAACAGGCTTTACAGCTTCATGAGTACATTTCTTGTCAAGCATTGTTACTCCCTCCTTTTTCTGCTACTATCCCTTCCCTCCCCCAGTTCTGTTACTTTTAAAGCAAGGCTTCCTTCTTACTTTGTCCAAAATGACCTGCAAACATCCTCATCAGAGGCCCATTTATTCTTTGGCGTTTAGGTCTGCCAGGGAACATTGCTAATGGTTATACAGCAAGACAAACAGACTTACTGCCATGGATATCCTACAGAAATATAAAAAGCACAGTGAAGTATTATTAAAACTAAGACTAGAGGTAGGGGATTCAGCCTAGTCAGAGTCCTAGCAAGTGCAAGGCCATGAGGTCCATCCTCAACTAATACTAAAATACTAAATGCAAATACTGAAATGCCATAACAGCTAGGCACTGATGGCTGACACCTGTGACCCTAGCTACCCTGTAGTACTATCTCAAATTCACCCACAAAAAAAAGCCAACCAGGCGCCAGTGCCTGTCATCCTAGTTACTCGGGAGACTGAGATCGAGGATCAAGGTTCAAACCCAGCCTGGGTAGGAAAATCCATGAGATTCTTATCTCCAATAAGCCACCAGAAAAACAGAAGTGGCACTAGCCTTGAGCTGAAGAGCTTGAGGACAGCGCTCAGGCCCAGGGTTCGAGCCCTACAACGGACAAAAAACAAAAACAAAAAAGCCTAAATGGTGAGCTGTAGCTCAAGTGGTACATCATCCTGGTATGCAAAAGTTCAGAGATAGCATCAATTCCGAGTTGAAGCACAACAACCAAGGGGAAAAAAATAACTATCATTCATTAGAGACGGGGAGAAACACATACCTTAAAAAAAAAGATACTTGGCCAAGGGAAGGAAAAATTGGCTTTGGCCACACAAAAGTGTTAGTTACAACTTAGTAAGCGATTCAGACAAGGGTCTTGATGCGCTATCTCATTTCCATCTGTCTTTTTTGTGTGTGTGCCTTTTTGCGTGTAACACGTAAGAAGTATAAATCAGGGATCTTTGTTGGAGGTGCTGTTTTGAAGCAGCACCCATGCTTGGATGGCACTATGCCACTTGAGACACCCAAACACTGCTTACTACTAGTTATTTAGGAGACTGTCTCAGTTCCTGCACAGACTAGATTCAAAACACCATCCTCTGAGTTCAGCCTCCTGAGACATAGCCAATTAACCATTCATGTCAGCACTTGTAAATAACCACAAGAAAGGCTCCTGAGCAACTAGGACAGACTATGTACATCCATGGATTATGGAGCCAGATAATCCACAGCAATTTCAGTTGCAATGTCCACTGTCACAGTACCTACTACTTAATTTTTTTTTTAATTTCATTATTATAGTGTTGATGTACAGAGAGGTTACAGTCACATAAGTCAGGTAGAGCACATTCCTTTTTGGACAATGTCACCCTTTCCCTTGCTCTCCCTGTTTCCTCTTCCATCCCCACTGTCAAGTGGTATGATGCTCACAGGTGTCTAATGAGTACCACTGCTACATTTTGTTCACCCGTTGTGCCTCCATTTCTGTGCACACCCTTACCGCCTCCTAAGGTCAGATAAACAATACAAAAAGAAAACAAAAAAGGCACAAGGACAAAAAACATTTCTATTTCCTGGAGTTCACTGTTATGATCAGAGGCAAATAAGCATTGCGACTTTGTGTTCCTCTTCTAAAAGTATTATCCTTTGGTCTCACTGTATGACTGGAGTCACACAGAATTTAGCATTTACTGACATATTTTAGATCCAGCTTCAACATGAGAGAAAACACGTGCTCCTTGTCTGAGCTTGGCTATCCTTACTTAATGGAATTTGCTCTAGGTACCTCTGTGAACTATTCTACTTGGATTAGCTTTAAGCCACAACTCTGAGAGCTTAACCTCCTACATCGCTAGGATTACAGGTGTGAGTCAATGCCACCTGGCTTAGTCTTTTCTTTACTGTGTTCATTCACTCAGAGGTAACCAGTCTCTGTAGGATTCACACATTGTGGGAATTCAGTATGACTATCAAATACTTCAAAGTAGCTGAGGAACCTAAAGGCCTTTCCACATTGTTTACATTCATAGGGTGCTTCTCCATTATGTTTTCTTTCATGGGCATGAAAGTAACTGAGATATCTGAAGGCTTTTCTGTTTACACATTCATAGTTTTTCTCCTGTATGTGTTCTTTTTACAAACTTGAATATAACTGAAACATCTAAAAGCTTTTCCATAGTTTACATTTGTAGGGTTTTTCTCCAGTATGACAGAGATGACAGAATGACAGAGGACTACTCAGACTTTGCCACATTGTTTACATTTATGAGGATTTAATCCAGTATGAGTTCTTTCATATATCTGAATGTAGCAAGAACTCAAGGTTTTACCACAATGTTTACACTTGCAGGCATTTCCTTCAGTATGAGATCTTTCATGAGTTTGAAGATAGCTAAAACACCTCAGCATCTTACCACTTTCATATTCACAGGGTTTTTCTCCAGTATTTGTTTATGGAAATTTAGAACTCAAAGCCTTACCACACTGTTTGCATTCATAAGGACTTCCTTATCATGTGTTCTCTCATGTACTCAAGGCATCTGTGATCTCTGAAGAATTTTTCACACTGTTTACATTCATGGGGTTTGGCTCCACTATGAGCTTTCATGGACTTGAAGGGAGGTGAAATTTCTGAAGCTCCTCCAAGACCATTTATATTTGTAGCGTTCTCTCCAGTATGGATTCTTTCATGTTTTCAAAGAGACAGAGAAATACTAAGAACTCTATCACACTATTTACATTTATACATTTCTCCAGTATGAGTTCTTTCATGTATTCTAAGGTAGCTAGAACAACTCAGAGTTTTACCACAATATTTGCATTTGCAGGGGTTTCGTTCAGTATGAGTTCTCTCATGAGCTCGAAGGCAGCTGAGATATTTGTAGGTCTTCCCACACCGTTTACATCGATAGGAACATATTTTAGCATGAGCATGTTCGTGTACTCGAAGGCAGCGGAGATATTGGAAGGATTCACCACATTGTTTGCATTCATGGGGCTTTTCTCCAGTATGAATTGTTCGATGCACTTTAAGAGAGGCAGCACAACTGAAATTTTTACCACATTCCTTACATTCATAGCATTTTTCTCCACTATGTATCCCTTCATGTATTCGAAAGTAACGAAGACTTCTGAAGCTTTTTCCACAATATTTACATTCATAGGCTTGTATTCCACTATGAACTCCTTCGTGTATTTGGAGGCTGCTGTGACACAAGAAAGCTTTTCCACATTGTTTGCATGCATAGAGGTTTTCTCCAGTATGAATTCTTTCATGCACTCGAAGATAACTAGAACAACTCAGGCTTTTGCCACAATGTTTACATTCAAAGGGATTCTTAGCACTATGTGTTCTCTCATGTTCTCGAAAGTACCTGGCATGTCTGAAGGCTTTTCCACACTGTTTACATACATAGGGTTTTCCTACACTGTGAGTTTCTTCATGAACTTTAAGACCATTAAGAGAACTGAGACTTTTACCACATTGCTTACATTCATAGGGGTTTTCTTCACTATGTGTTTTTTCATGCATTCGAATGGAACTACGTTGTTTGAAGACTTTTCCACATTGTTTGCATGCATAGAGTTTTTCTTCAGTATGAATTCTTTCATGCACTCGAAGATAACTAGAACAACTCAGGCTTTTGCCACAATGTTTACATTCAAAGGGATTCCTAGCACTATGTGTTCTCTCATGTTCTCGAAAGTAACTGGCACGTCTGAAGGCTTTTCCACACTGTTTACATGCATAGGGTTTTCCTACACTGTGAGTTTCTTCATGAACTTTAAGAGCATTAGGAGAACTGAGACTTTTACCACATTGCTTACATTCATAGGGGTTTTCTTCCATATGTGTTTTCTCATGTATTCGAATATATTTAAGTTGTTTGAAGGTTTTTCCACATTGTTTGCATGCATAGAGTTTTTCTCCAGTATGAATTCTTTCATGCACTCGAAGATAACTAGAAGAACTCAGACTTTTGCCACATTGTTTACATTCATAAGGATTCTTAGCACTATGTGTTCTCTCATGTTCTCGAAAGTACCTGGCACGTCTGAAGGCTTTTCCACACTGTTTACATGCATAGGGTTTTCCTTCAGTGTGAGTTTCTTCATGAACTTTAAGAGCACTAGGAGAACTGAGACTTTTACCACATTGCTTACATTCATAGGGGTTTTCTTCACTATGTGTTTTTTCATGCATTCGAACGGAACTAAGATGTTTGAAGGTTTTTCCACATTGTTTGCATGCATAGAGTTTTTCTTCAGTGTGAATTCTTTCATGCACTCGAAGATAACTAGAAGAACTCAGGCTTTTGCCACATTGTTTACATTCATAAGGATTCTTGGCACTGTGTGTTCTCTCATGTTCTCGAAAGTAACTGGCCTGTCTGAAGGCTTTTCCACACTGTTTACATGCATAGGGTTTTCCTACACTGTGAGTTTCTTCATGAACTTTAAGAGCACTAGGACAACTGAGAAATTTACCACATTGTTTACACTGATAGGGATTTTCTTCAGCATGTGTCTTTTCATGTATCCTTAGGTACCCAAGTTGTTTGAAAGTTTTTCCACATTGTTTGCATTCATAAGATTTTTTTACACTCTGATTATTCTCATGTAGTTGACCTGAACTGTAACAAACAAAGGACTTCTCATTTTGCTGGCATTTATACAGTGATTTTGCTTGGTGAGTTTGTTGATGTACTTGAAATGAACTAGAAGTATCAAAGATTTTCAAACATACCTTACATTCACAAGGTCCATTTACATTGTGAGATGCCATGTGTTGTTGAACACTTTTGTGAGAGATAAATGCTTTCCCACATTTTTTATATTTATAAACCTTCTGTCTGCATTCTTTATGTTCATATTTGTATCCAGAGTGAGAGATTACATGCCTATTAAAGGAAGAATGATACGTGAAAAATTGGGCATTGTCCCTGAGCTTCTTTTGCTCAAGGCTAGCACTCTTTATCACTTGAACCACAGTGCTACTTCTGTTTTATGTAGCACTGAGAAATTAAACCCAGGGCTTCAAGTAGGCAAGCACTTTACCACTAAGCCACATTCCCAGCCCCATGAAAATCTTTACAGTATTTTCACATGCTTTTAGTCCCACTGAACTTTTCTTCCCTATATTAAGATTTGGAACCAAGTGAAAGTATCGCCACACAAACCAAACTCTATCTGCCAAATAGCTTCTATAAAATGACAAGACATCAGTAGTAAGTGCTTTACTAATGAATATTTATTCATAGGTCTTAAACATAACACTGCTCCACAAATAAGGTGAAATGTATATTTTCTGTTGTCTAGGTAGGAATAGTTGAAGCAGATGTTTCACTTACTTGGCAACATGGCTTCCACAGAACTATCACAAGAGCAACATTCATGTGTCCTTTTTTTACTACTGTTTGCAAGTGAAATGTTGTGCCAAACATTTAACATCTTTGTTACATCGAAATATATTTTTTGATAATTTTTTTCTAATAATTATAAGTTGTGCTCATTTGTTTTCTTTTTTTTTTCATGGGGAGTGCCAGCCTGGGGCTTTAACACAGGACCTGGACACCATTCCTGAGCTCTATCTACTCAAGGCTAGTGTACTACTTCTTGAGCCACATCCCTAATTCTGGCTTATTTGGGTGATTAAGATAAAGAGTCTTAATCATCTCTGTGATTAAGATAAGATGCAGATAAGAGTCTCAAAGACCTCCCTGCTTGGGCTGGTTTCAAACCATGATCCTAATATCTCAGCCTCCTTAGTAGCTAGGATTACAGGTATAAGCCACTAGCACCCAGCCTTTTGCTTCTTATTTTTACTTTATTTTTTTGCCAGTCATGGGGCCTCAATTCTGGGTCTGGGCACTGTCCCCCCAGCTTCTTTTGCTCAAGGCTAGTGCTCTACCACTTGAGCCACAGCACTATTTCTGGCTTTTCCTGTTTATGTGGAACTGAGGAATCAAACCCAGGGATTCATGGATGCTAGACAAGCACTTTTCCACTCAACCGCATTCCCAGCCCCAGCATTGCTTCTTTTATGCATGTAAATTACCTGATATTTCTCTGACAATTTTTGTGCTGATCATTCATGTTCAGGTCTGTCCATTTGTGTCCTAAATATAACCAAAAAATATTACCAATTATAAATTATAGAAAAGTAATACTAATTTCTAGGTTATATACATGGTAACCATGCCTGAAATATTCAAATTTTTCCCTATCTACATTCCAAATCTGTTGTCTAGTTAGAAAAGAAAAAATATTGAGTATGTGTGCGCACATGCCCCTAACACTCTTGCTGGGCTTTGTCATTCCAGGCTGGTGCTTGGCCACTTAAGGCACACATCCATCTCTGGCTTTTGTGGTGGTTAACTGGAGATAAAGCCTCACAAACTTTTCTGAAAGGCTGGCTATTTACCACAATCCTCACATCTCAGCTTCTTGATTAGCTAGGATTACAGGAGTGAGCCATCAATTCCCGTCCAAAGGATGGTATTCTTACCTATACAGTTGAAGTTGCTGAAAGTTTCCAGCATTACATCTCTGTAGAAAGTCTTCTGAGAAGGATTCAGCAAAGCCCACTCCTCCTTGGTAAATTTCACAGACACATCCTTGAAGCTGAAAGACTCCTAAAACATCCCATATACATATACAGAACAGGTAAACTTACAGTACTATAAATGTACAATAATTCATAAACTATTCTCAAGATTCTGTGGTCTCCAAATATTTACTGATTAGCTGTTACTCCCACATACTTATAGTACTAGAACTGAGCTTTTGAGGAAAAGAAATGCAGCAGATATATGTAATACACACATATAAACTGCCTAAAATTTTTCATGAATCTTGTCTTTTAATACACAGATACTACCCATTATGGATATAAAGTATATGTTCCTCTCATTAATAGGCCAAATAAGTAACATGTGGTGCTGAACCAACCATAAATTCTTTATGGCGAGAATCACTAGAACTTGCTTTAACCAAGTCCTGCCACCTCAGGTGCATAAGAAAAATCATTGCAACAGTCATGACACGTTCCTTATAAACTCAATCTCCAAAAGTTTGACCTTGGGGCTAGGATATTGGTCAGTGGCATGGTGGTTACCACTAAGTAACATGACACAACCACAAAAGTGGCCCTGTTTGGAGGGGGAAACCAGCAAGGAGGGGGAATGGAGAGGGGAATGGAGGTACATTATATACATATGAAAAATAGCATAATAAATCCCAGCAAAAACGGCTAAAAAGCGGAGGATAGAAGGGAAACAGGAAAAATTAGATGGAGTGAATTTGATCAAAGAACATTATATGTACATTGTCAATATAACATGAAGCTACTTTGTCCAATTATTTTTATTAATTATTTATTTAAAAACAAATTTAAATGTAGCAGTGGTACTAATTAGATACTATGTTGAAAATAAACTAAATACCTTGTGGGAGAGGACAAGAAGGAAAACCTGAGAGAACAAGGGAAGAAGTGACATTGTACAAAAAGATGCACTGCTGGGTGCCAATGGCTCACACCTGTAATCCTAACAACTCAAGAGGCAGAGATCTGAGGATCATGGTTCAAAGCCAGCCTGGGCAGAAAGTCTGAGAGACTCTTATCTCTAATAAACCACCAGAAAACAGGAAGTGGTCTTGTGACTCAAAGTGACAGAGTACTACCCTTGAGCTGAAGAGTTCAGGGACAGCACCCAGGTCCTGAGTTAAAGCCCCATGATTGACAAAAAAAAAAAAAATTATACTTATTACCTGACTATGTAACTGTAACCACTCTGTACGTTACCTTTATAATAACAATTACAAATTTTCTTACATTAAAAAAAAAGGAAAAATTTTGCCAGGCACTAGTGGTTCATGCCTATAACCCAAAATACTGAGGATGATTACAGTTCAAAGCCAGCCCAGGCAGTAATTTCAAGAGCCTTATCTCCAATTAAGCAGCAAAAAGATGGAGGTAGAACCGTCGCTCACATTTAGAGTATCAGCCTTGCCAGGTACTGATGGCTCATACTTGTAATCTTAGCTACTCAGGAGACTGAGATCTGAGGATCGTGGTTCAAAGCCAGCCCAGGCAGCAAAGTCTGTGAGACTCTTATCTCCAATTAACCACCAGAAAACTGGAAGTGGAACTGTGGTTCAAGTGGTAGAGCGCTTGCCTTTAGCTAAAGAGCTGAGGGACAGCACCTAGACCCCAAGTTCAAAGCACCATGACCAACAAAAAGAGTGTCAGCCTTGAGCACTATGGACAATATGAGATGCTGGTCTCAAGTTGCAGGACCTGCAACAAAATTTTTTTTTTTTTGGAAACAAGAGGTTCTTATTATGTTCTATATGCAGTTATTTCTTTTTTTTCTATTTTAATTTTCTGTACCTTTTACCTTGTATATAAGTTTAGCTGATTAGTGGAGGGTAAGGGAACCACAGAAACAGCAGGACAAAAGATGAACTAGTACAACAATGATACTCATTAGACACTGTGTTGGAAATGAACCTTATAACAGGAGGGAGGGTAGAATGGGAAGCAGAAAAAAAATGAGGGAGGGGGTAACAGTGTTTAAAAAGAAATGTACTCATTACCTTCCTTATGTAAATGTAACTCCCGTTTATCACCTTTACAATAATTTTTTTTAAAAAGATCATGCTCTCATTATGCCAAAATGGGAATTTTCAACCATCTCAAAAGTTGAGAATGCTGAGGCACTTACTAGATTAAACCCAACTTATTCAGACTCTATATTGACATCCCTGGCATTTTCTCTCCTAGCCTGGAATCATATTTGAAAATATAGTAGAACTTTGGGCAGGTTAGTGCTTCTGGATCTTGCACATCTCGATTTCTCTGTGAAATTGTGACTCTTTTCCACTGGGAGAGTGACAGCTTGACTCTGGGATACTGGTGGAAAGCCAGTTTCATGCTGTCCTGGCTAGTTCACTGGGGGTCACTTGTGAGATGACCCGGGGCCTGCAGCCCAGGCAAGGTTCATCCTCCATCAACTCTCACTTCTGTTTTATCTAGCACCAACTTTTTTTTTAATAGTGAAGTTTAATTTTTTTTAATTGTGAAAATACTGTAAAGAGGGGTTACAATTACATGGGCAAGGCAATAAGTGCATTGCTTATCAAGCATTACTGCATCCTCCTTTGTTTCCCCTTACCATTCCTGAGCACTGTCCCTCAGCTCTTCAGCTCAAGGCTAGCGCTCTACCGCTTGAGCCACAGAGCCACTTCCAGTTTCCTAGTGGTTTATTGGAGATAAGAGTCTCACAGACTTTCCTGCTGGGGCTGGCTTTGAACCGTGATCCTCAGATCTCAGCCTCCTGAGTAGCTAGGATTACAGGCATGAGCGATTGGCGCCCGGCTTTTTTTTTTCCTTTTTTTTCCTGGGGCTTGAACTCAGGGCCTGGGCACTGTCACTGATCTGCTTTTGCTCAAGGCTAGCACTCTACCACTTGACCCACAGCACCACTTCCAGCTTATTTTTTTTCTGTGTATGTGGTACTAAGGAATCAAACCCAGATCTTCAGGCATGCAAGGCAAGCACTCTACTACTAAGCAACATTCCAGCCCTTCCTCCAGTTCTTAAAATTTGTGTTTTGTTTTGTTTTTTCTATATATGAGATAGCTTTCATTTTTACCTGGCATGTCATCTTTACACAAAAGACATTAATGCCATGTAGGAGACAAAATGCACTAATTAAAAAACATTCAATACAAAGCATGTTCTGTTTTACAAGAAACAAAAATCTTGTCTTAAAATTTATATTGAGATTGTACAAAATGATATGAGAATATCTTTTTCTGGAAAATTTTCCATTTAAGAAAGGTACACATGGGCTGGGAAGATGGCTCAGTGGTAGAGCGCTTGCCTTGCATGCATGAGGCCCTGGGTTCGATTCCTCAGCACCACACAAGCAAAAAGGAAAAACCCAGAAGTGGCACTGTGGCTCAAGTGGTAGAGTGCTAGCCTTGAGCTGAAGAGCTGAGGGACAGCGCCCAGGCCCAGAGTTCAGGCCCCATGATTGGACCAAAAAAAAAGAAAAGAAATGTACACATTTCAATGATGGGCACTGATGGCTAACGCCTGTCATCCTAGCTACTCCAGAGGCTGAGATCTAAGGATCACAGTTCAAGGCCAGCGTGGGTAGGAAAGTCTGTGAGATTCTTATCTCCAATTAACCACAAAAAAAAAAAAAACAGAAGTGGTGCTGTGGCTCAAGTGGTTCCACACTCACTTTGAGCTGAAGAGCTGAGGGAGAGTGTCTAGGCCCAAAGTTCAAGCCCCACAACTGACCAAAAAAAAGTAATATTTTTTTAAAATTTTTACTAGTCTGTATTTTCCATCCCAAGACAAGCACATATAAAATAATGTTAAATTTTTCATATACATATGTATGAATGAACAAGCCTGTACATATGTAAACAAATCTAATCAATGATTAATAGATGAGCCATGTGCCGGGGGGCTGATTCATATAACCCTGAAATTGAGAGAGAACGTTTGTGGTTTGAAGCCATCAGGGCAGCAAAGTCTGTAAGACTTTTATCTCCAATTAACCACCAGAAAACCAGAAGTGGAGCTATGACTCAAAGAGGACAACACCCAGGTCCTGAGTTCAAGTCCCAAAACAAACAAAAACAAAATAGCCTGAAGCTGTGACTCAAAAATTAGTTTCTCCCTTAAATGAAGAAAGTACAACACCAAGGTCCTTAGTTCTATACCAGTACTGGCACACACACACAACACACAACTGTGAGTTATAAATGATGGAAAAGGCCTATATGGTCTCACTAAATTCTTCCATTAAGAAAGAACTGACAGGGGCTGGGAACATGGCTCAGTGGTAGAGCGCTTGCCTTGCATGCATGAGGCCCTGGGTTCGATTCCCCAGCACCACATAAGCAAAAAAGGAAAAAAGCCAGAAGTGGCGCTGTGGCTCAAGTGGTAGAGCGCTAGCCTTGAGCTGAAGAGCTGAGGGACAGCGCCCAG